CATGAAATCTCAGGCTGTCTTCATATTTTTTCATTCTTTATTCTGATTGTTCTTATAGCTTACTAGTATTGAGAGATTTATCTTCAAATTCACAAGTTCAGCCTTGATTCAAATCTACTCCTTTGCCTTTCTTAAAAATGTATTGTTAATTTCTGAAATCTTAGTATTAAACTTCTGGACTTTAATTTGCAGGTTTTGTATCATGTCAAATCTTTTATCTATTTTGTTTGATTGTTCCTGAAGCGCTTTCCTGAATTCTTCTGTGTTTTCCTCAACCTGATATTTGGAGTACCTAAATATCATTCTTTTGAATTCTTTTTCAGGTAGTTCCAATGCCTTTTTTCTCCAAAATATTTTCTAGCTCTGCCTCTTGGTCTGTTGGTTGAACCACTGTCTCGCTTCTTCAAGTGAACAGAAATTATCTGCTGCCTTCAAGACATTTCAATGTTATATTTGTATGAAGTTGATGAAATTAAGTTGGTGATTGTTAGGCACTCACCAACTGCCTCCTGGCAGGTGTGATCAGATGAGATGGTGGACCATTTTCTGTTCGCTGTTCATGCAGTCAGTTCAGTACATATTTAGCTGATGTTGGTTGTTTTTGTTGATCTGGTGTATACCAGATGATACTGGTTCTTGCTCCAAGAGTGGGGTTGCAGAGAGTTCAGTTGTTGCTAGCCACATCAGGTGTGGCAAGAGAAAACACACAAACAAGAGAGAACTAACACAAACCAGCAAATAACTGCAAAAAAATAAAAAGAAAAAGCAGGCAACAGGGTAAAGAGAATACAAAAACCAAAGAGAGAAGTGGAAGAGGAAAATAATAAAATAATAATAATAATTAAAAAGACCTAAAAAGAGATGGAGTAAAAGATCAGAGAATAGTTTAAAAAAAAAAAAATTAAGAAAGAAGTAGTTGGCAAAGAGAAGCAGCGAAAAAAGAAAACATACAAGGGGAGATAGAAAGTCTAGAAAGGAAGTGACAGAAAGGTGAGGGAGAAAGAATAAACAAACAAAAACAATGAAAAGGAAGAAGAAACAGGGCAGGAGCCAGACTCAGAGAGAAGAAAATTCTGGGGTCTCCTGCCAGCTGAGGACCTCACATTGTGGGTGGGTAAGGGATGAGACAGTAACACTCAATCCTAGATGGAATTCCTATAGGACTAGGTGTTAGTTACCCCAAGGCAGTTGGGTGATCAGGGTATTTCTGTACCAGAGGTGAGAGGTGCCTCTAGTCAGGCCTGACCAGAACTGCCTCTACAGGTCTGAAGACCAACCTGATGCTCAGGTGGCTACTGCCAGCACCCCACTCGTCTTTTCTGCTGCTTCTCCTAGCGAGAGCTAGTCCAGAGTTGGCCAGAGCCTCCTCTGCAGATCTGGAGTAGGACCAACCAAACAAGGTCAGTATGGGCAGCTCCCCTTTCTCAGTACAACTCTGACCACTGAAGTATGGGAGCTTCCCTGGGAGAGTACATGGGTAGCACTTGGTCCCACCTCTGGTCACCAGGGGAGTGTGGAAATAAGGGGGAGAGGGGGGGAAATCACACCTCAATCTCTGTGAGCCACAGGTATGTTTCTGCAATACCAGTTGTTTCCTTGTTTCTGAAGCCACTAACAAAAAGCTCAAGATGGCTGCTCCTGCCTGGTCGGCGGGAACAGGTCACCAGTCTCTCCTTTTTCTGCAGCATCTGCCCAACTCTCTCTCTTAGAAAGCATTTAAACCACTTCTCTATCCCTTCATCTGAAGCTCAGAGTTCCAGGACTATCATCTGCATCTATTTCATTTGGTTTTCGGTAGCTTTGCTGTAGAGGGTCTGTGTAGTCGTTCTACTGATCCGCCATCTTGCCACCTCTGATTTTTTTCTTAATTTGAGAAACATCATCGTATGACGGTGAAGAATGTGAATTCTGAAGTGCCTGAATCCTAATTCAGATCTGCTACTTGCTAAGTGTGTTCCTTCAAAACAGTTACCTAAGTTTCATGCCTATTTCATAAAGTCATGTGAAGGTTAAATGAAACAATCCATGCAAAACACCAAGAATAATGTCTCGTACGGCATTACTGTTTAAAAAGTGATAGCCATTCTTAAGAGCTCTTCCTGTATTTTGCAAATTACTCTTTTGATTTATTTAAATATGATATGACTGTTTTCTTCCAGTCCCTTGCTTATGCTTTATTTGGATGGTTTATCTTGTAGGAGTTTTAAAAATATAATTCAATATGCCATTCTTTTCCTCCATATCTTTTGTTGTAGCCTGGTTTTTGGTGTTTGTTTGTTTTTTTATTTATATGAACTACTTTAGTGAATTGACCTCTCTAGATTTCTCTTGTGTGATTTTGTGATCACTACCTTAAGATCTCCTTTGATCTCAATAGATAACTGAAGTCACTCTTTTTTTTGTCTGAATGACAATCATCAGCCATTCCTAAGCTACATTTTCTCTGGATAACAGTATTCCGTTTTGGTCTTCCTTCTCTTCCCACATTACACTCCCTCAATGATCTTACCACTTTAATGTTTTCAACAAACCCCTAGGCAGATCTCCAGAGGATTTTTCACTGTTCACAAGCAACTTCTCATGACCTACAATCACTTTAAACTAACTTTCTTCAAAAACTGGACTTTTTATACACTCCGTAGCTACTGAGCTGGAATGATCTTTAAAAGTTACTTTAAAAAACATGTTTAACTTACAACACACACTATGCATGGTATAGTTTTGAATGAACAAAAAGATGCAAATATGCCTGTGTTTGTATATGAAAAGAATCTCTCAGACAAGACACAGGAAAATGGATGAAAAACGGTTGCCTCTTGAGTGGGAAAAAAGGAGCTCGGGGACAAGAGAAGAAATCTTACTCTTGATGTTAACTTTTTTGTGCTTTTTTGATTTTGTTTCATGATGTAAAACCTATTCAAAAACAGACATAAGATTTTACATAAATAAAACCAACCAGTTGCCATGGAGTTGACTCAGGCTCACGGCAACCCTGTGTGTTTTATAGTCTCACAAACACTTTAAACTGTGCTGCGGAGGCTTTTCATTGGCTGACTTCTCAGAAGTATATTGCCTGGATTTTCTGCCAAGGTACCACTGGGGAACTTGAAACTCCCCTCTTTCAGTTAACAGCCATGCATTAATATCACACAGGGACTATATACAGGCACACCTCATCTTACTGCTCTTCACTCTACTGCACTTCGTCAAGATTGTATGTTTACAACTGGAAAGTGTGTAGCCACCCTGCATTGAGCATGTCTATTGGTGCCATTTCCCAATAGCACGTGTCTCCTTGTCACATTGTTAATTCTCACAACATCTCAAACTTTTCCATAATGCTATTGTACACTTAATAGACTAGAATATTATGTAAACATCACTTTTATATGCAGTGGGAAACCACTTGCTTTATTGCAACATTCCCTTTCTCATGGTGATCTGCAACCGAGCCCACAATGTCTCCAAGGTACACCTGTATGAAAAAGGGACCTCTAACCCATCCCCTGTTTTGACTGGTGTTGTCTCTGGCTAAAAGCTTTGAACTCATCCTCTATCTCTTCAAATGCACATCCAACGATCAGACTCTGTCAAAAGGCCTAGAAATGACTATTCATCTGCCTACTCATTCAACAGTGACCCCAGGGCAGAAAATAAACTAGAGATGAAAAGATGAGATGCTGTCAATATTACCCCCCAAGAAGCCCATGGGAACAGTTACATTGCCCATTTATTTCTTAAATAATGAGTTCCTTAAGCCATTTACAAGTATTTATTTGGGTGAAATGTCATAAAATATATTTTTATAATACATACAAAGAAAAAACACATTTGAATAGATTAAAAAAAATGATAGGAGCTGACAGAAGTTAGTGTTTATAAATGAGGTCATCAATAACTTGAACAACTCCAAAATTAAAAGTGTACCTAAAAGTTGAGACCATGCTTTATGAGAAGATTTTTATATATGTATATTTAAAAGAAAGAAAAACGATATTAATTTTTTTAAGGTAATAGGACTTAATTGCTTTTCAAATGATTTCAAATAGGTTTTTAGACATGGCCCTACATGAACATGAAAATAAAAACTAAATAAGAACTTTGGCAAGCAAAGTATTAGTTCATAGCAGCTTGGTAGAAGTTTACCTTTTCCATATATATAAAGACTCTTCAATTTACATTTTTCTTGTTACAAGGGTAGAGAGAACCAATACACTAAGTATATTTGAGGAGTCAACTTAGCAAAAACAGTTATTTTCAAAAGCCTGAATTCTATGACAATCTGCATATATAGTAACTGAGTAAATGTGAACCATGTGATTACTTATTATCTCTTCTCTAAGTCCCAAATCTCACACAATATTCCCTATGACTGTCTCTCTTTTTGAAGGCAGTTTCAAACTTTATGCTAACACACATTGGCTATTTGAAAATGTTCTTATTTCCATTACTAAAAATGTTTGTGTCAAGTCTCTTATAAGTTGTTTCCTGTACTCTAGTAACAAGACATATCATGATCAATAAATGATCATAACCTTCATGATTTAAAAAAAAAAATGTACTAAAGCTAGAGAAGTGATCACAAAAGTTTGAGGTTTCTGTCTCCAACCCTTGGCAGACCTTTCGACTTCAGGATCCATCGTTCCAAGAAGACAACCCAAAATTCCTTACTTTAAAAAAAAAAAAAATTTTTTTTTAATACCACGAATAACTAAATTTTCTAAGAAAGTGAGAGACTTTTAAATTAAGATTTAGCAAAGTCAACTGTAATGAATTGACTTCCAATTATTTATGAATGACAAAAAAGGCTGAAGGTGTACATAGAAAAGATAAATACTGCATAATATGTAGTGAATATTGGCACATACCCTTCTGTAGTTAAAGCCAAGAATGCAATCAGCAAATCTGATGCTCTTAAGTGTGTTTTCTTAAGATACATTTATGATACAGCTCAAAAAAAAACAAAAAACAAAAAAACAACCCTCTGCACAGTACGGCAGAAGGAAAGGCCCCAAAGTTTAAGGTTTTCCAATGGGTTTGTAGCAAGCATCAGGCTGCCAGAGCCGGATATCAACAAGAACTTGATTGAGTTTTTGCATCCAGAGGTCCCGCTCTTCTTTACTATCCGCAGACAGCCAGTTCCTACAATGGGGGAGAAAAGGTCAGGATGTTTTCCTCTGGTCCATATTTCCATGTACTCCTGCAGGGTGGGGGTGGGGTGCAAAGCCTAAACAAATCAGTAGCATTTTTAATGGATGCTACTTAAGAGCTACCTAGTGATGTGCTTAACCAAATGCAAAAAGGTAAAATGAGCTCCAATTTGGTCAGCTGCTTCCTAACTGACACTAGTCACACTGGAAAACGAGTGGAGTGTTCACACTGAAGATGTAACCATCCTGTACAGGTGGCTCTGGCCTGGGCAAGCTGATGGTGGGCGACATCCGCTGAGTATGGACAGTTTCCTATACAGAGCACCATGGGCCTGAAACTAGGAGCTCCCGATTGGGTGCCTTCAGACTCAAGCTTCCTGAGAGCTGGAATCACAAGTGTAGGGATGCAATCTAGCATATTACAGGTAAGAATATTTGTACAATTAATATTTTGTACCCATTATTTTTTCCTACACTGCTACCCCCATCCTTTATCAGGAATCTCTACTTTGTAAATATATTTACTTAAAGTTGAACAACTAATTCATAGAGTAGGTAGGGGTGGGAAACTGGACTGTGTGAAACACTGTGTAGGCTTAAGTAATTTCTTCCCATCGGGACTACTAGAAATGGTATATGCGGGACAGAAATGAAGTCATCTGCATTATCACTTTCAATGGAAAAAGAGAGAGAGAGGATACAACACCCACAACTGTAACAGTGATCATCTTGAGTGTATGCCATGTGCCAGACACTGTGTTAAGTGCTTTACGATCACTCTGTGGAGCTCCTACTTTCATTCTGACACAGGATTATTCAGATGGCCAGCAAAGGTCACTAATTTGCCATGGTTACATTTGGAAAGTCACCAAGGCAGGATTTAAACCTAGGCCTGTGGACTGCAAAGTCCCTATATAACTGTGTAACACTGCCTTCCCATAAGATGAAGCGGTTCCTACTTCATATTCATAGCCTAATATTTTGAAGTAGGCAATAGAGACCAGAAGAGAAATCTTTATTTTGTTGTTAGTAGGAATAAAACAGGAGATACACTAAATCTAGATCAGGGTATAGGTCAAAAAGGCCCTATGGAGAAACAGGCAAATAAAGCTAATAAGAATGCAGAGCTGAGGAATGTTTGTATTCATATGGTTGAAGCAGTGAAATAAGTTTTAAATCACTAAACAAAGCTGAGGACTCAGCCAGGACTGAACAGAATATGTGTTGCTCTGAAATGCTTGAACAAAGGAGCAGAGCCCCCATCCAAATTACGATAATATAAGAATGAGAAAAATTAAATGCAGAGTAATTAGAGAGAGAATAACATGTGTTCTGGATACCAGATAAAGAGAAGGTCATAGGAAAAATCTGAGTGATGATCCTAAGGGCTACTTATGGGCCACTGAGGTCAGGAACTTGTGGAGTCCACTTCAGTGGGTCCTCTTGCTGACTGTACTCATGAACAGAGTAAATAAACACACAATATCATTGTGAATTTATGTTGCCTCTCCTGTTTTGCCTGAAGCCACTGATAGATAGAAAGCCAAGAAAAAAATGGATAGATGTGTTAACTTAATCTGGAAATAATCTAGACATCAAGAATTTTTTTAAAAAAAAAAGAAAAGAGACAGACATTTCCAAGGAAGGGCTCCCGACTGTTACCCAGCTATTGTTAAACAAATTGGCAGTACCTGAGGAACTCTGTTCGATTTTACAGCGGCTCTTGGCTGTAGCTTTCTAATGTTTCCCCATCAGAAACTGAAGGAGCCATTCTACCCATCACCCTGAGCGGAATACCCAGATTAACAAAGACCTGAACAAGTTTTAGCTTTTGTCCCTAATCACAGTTGTTTTCAGTTGAGTTGGTCTTCAAGCTTCTCTTGAACATCTAAGCAAAAGGCTTATTTATTTTACACTCTTAATAAGCCCTTGCATCACAAATTCTACCATACCTAAACTCATGAAACAAAAGAAGCAACATTCCTAATAGTTTATTCTGTTATATATAGTCTTAACCTACATCACCTGATTTACGGAGGGTGATTTTTAGAAGAGATGTGAGAGAGCAAAGTATCTTTGACTAATGCCTGACTTCTCAACTGCACATAAATCATCAAGTTTAACCTAAAGCTCATTGTTGTTAAGTGCTGTCAAGTCAATTCTGACCCATAGCGACCCTGTATAGGGTTTCCAAGGAGCAGCTGGTGAGCACCAACCTTGCAGTTCAAACGACTTTACAGTCTGACGCATTAGCCCACAGCACCACACCAGGACTCCTTAAAGCTCATTCGCTATGTTGAAAACGTCTCCACCTTGAGTAAGTAGAGAGCATACTTAGCTAATACTGTAATGTGTCAGCTAAAGTGAAAACAACTTACTTGGTGACACACAGTGTATCTCTGCACTGACTGACAAGAGTCTCTCGGTCATCTTCTCTTTGTGGCCGGACAGTAATTAATTCAAAAGTGTTGCGTCTTGCACAGAATTCTCTGTTAGCTGGTTCTATCTGACGACTGGTACAGTTGGCCAAATTGATCCTTCCTAGAGGATTCTTTAAAAATAAATTTAAAAATTTAATAGTAAAAATAAGTTAAGACTAAGTCAGTAAGCAGTAAGCACTATTTAAATTGGTACAAATTAAGATTGTTGTTGGTGTTTGTCATTGAGTCAGTTTTGACTCATAGCAACGCTGTATAAGGTTTTCAAGACTGGTAGTAGGTTTGAACTGCTGACCTTGTGGTTTCTCCTCTAGCACCATAAACTAAAAATAAATTATGTTATGAATTACAAAACTACTTTTTAATTTTGTTTATTTGTAGTTATCAGTCTTTGAAGAATAAATCATCTTACTTAGAAAATAACCTTAAATTCTTTAAAAAGTTAGACAAAGTTCACCCTATTATCTATGCAAAAACCTATTACCACATTTTAGAAACAAAAGCACAGCAATTCTATTGCACTTTTCTTGTATTGCTTTATCCCAGCTTTAGATAAACCAACTACCTAGTAAAATATAAAACTGAATTTAACATAATTATAATGAAAAATATCAATTAGAAAAAAAGATTACAGAACATTCCAAAAGTGAAAAAAACGATCAATTTCTTCCTTAAGTGTTTTAACAAGTGTCCTATCACAGGGAGTGGGGGTTGTCATTGTTGCTAGATGCTGTGGAGTGACTTTCTACTCATAGCAACAGCAGGGCAGTTTGAACTGCCTCGTGGGATTTTCTAGGCTATAATCTTTGTAAGAGCAGACTTCCAGGATTTTCTTCCAGTGGGGTTTATGTGGGTTTGAGCCATCAACCTCTGGTTAGCAGTTGAGCACCATGGAATGGATAGGATATAAAATTCAACACAAATACATGACACATCTTGCTTCTACTGTGCTTTGCAGATACTGCATTCTTCTGTGTAACGGCCTGAAGGTCTGTGGTAGCCCTGCGCCCAGCAAGTCTATGGGTGACATTTTCCCAGTAGCATCTGCTGACTTCGTGTCTATCACTTTTTGCAAATTCTCACAATATTTCAAACATTTTCATAATGAACATTTATTAGTATAAACATAACTTTTCAATGCGCTGGAAAACCAAAAATCCCTGAGGCTCCCTTTATTGTGGTAGTCTGGAGCCAAACCTACACACTACTGGTTTCACAACAAGAAACATTTTAAGGCTTTCTAAGTATATTTAAAAGGAAAATTTGTCTGGTCGGGGGAACACTTACGTAAAACACCACATGAAAATTAACTAGGGCTATCAGCATGGTCTAGTCCTATTAAAATTACCTTTCGTTTCTCATCATCTGGATACGTCCAATAAGAGATACAATTTCCAGAAAGAATACACCACCGTCGATGCCAGGCACCTAAACCACTAACATCTTCAAATATAGTCTGAAAAAGTTAATGAAATGCTAGTTTTAGACTCTGAAGAGCATTATCTTTACAATGAAATGTTTAAATTGATATATTTCACAACTTAAAACCTAATTGGATGATTTTTATCGTGTCTCCTTCCATAATAATCATAAAAAAATCATTATCCCAGATTTGCAGCATCATCTACAGGCATAACACCTTTAAAAATTTACAAATATTAAACCCAAATAGATATTTACCTCAATATCAGTTTTTTTAAAACATGAAACTTGTAACTAAATGCCTATTAAGTAACACAGTATTTCAAGTGTAAAATTTATATGAGAGTAATATGATATGCGAACATCATACCTTATATATATATTTTAAAAAGTTAATGATATAACGTGCTATATTAGATGGGAGCAGACAGCCTCAGGTTTCTCCCATGGAGGCTGGTGGGTTTGAACTGCCAACCTCACAGCAGCCAATGGTTACCCAACTATGCCACCAGGGCACAGGGCTGGTGATAGAACAAACAGCCTGTTCAAGTCACTGATTTGTGTGACATTATCAAACAGTTAGCTAGAATTAGGAAAGCAATCTCTAGCTGTGAAGTTACTTTACGTGCAAAACTGTTTCCATAATGCACTGAAATCTCCAATGTATTAATTAACTTTTACTCCAGCCACATTCCCTCAGGCCCCTCACCTCTTCCTCCCCAAGCCTGGCTGCTCCATCACTAGGCAACACTGCTCACATCACCCAAAGAAAGAGAAAGGAATCCTTTTTATTTCAATCTAACAGCTAAGTTGATAAAAATGACTCACCAGCTCCCCCCTGTGTAGTATTTGTCCAGCTTTTACATCATAAAGATTGCAGATGAGGAACATTTCAGTGGTTAAGAAGAGACTGTTATCATCACAGCACAGTTCCATAGGACAAGAACTGGACAAGGTTGGTGGGTGGAGCCCACCAGCTGCTTAGTGGGACAAAGATGATGCTTTTTGCTCCCACAAAGATTTACAACTTTGGAAACCCTGTATAGGGTCACTATGTATTGGAACTGACTCAAGAGCACTTATCAACAACTGTAAACAGAGGTAAGAAACCTTGGTGGTGCAGTAGGGTAAGCGTTGGGCTGTAAATCACAAGGTCACCAGTTCAGAACCACCAGCTGCTCTGTTGGTTCCTACTTGTTAAGTGCCATCGAGTCAATTCCGACACATAGCAACCTTGCACAGGGTTTCTGAGGAATGGCTGGTGAGTTTGAACCACTGACCTTACGGTCTAGTACTTATCCTACAGCACCATACCAGCACTCCTTCCTAGTCATTTTGTTGCTGTTGTTGTTAAGTACCATGGAGTCAGTTCCGACTCATAGTGACCCAGAACAGGGTTTCTGAGGCTATAAATCTTCACGGGAGCAGAACGCCTCATCTTTCTGCAGCGGAGCAGCTGGTAGTTTCAAACTGCTGACCTTGAGGTTGGCAGCCCAACTCATAACCACTACGCTACCAGAGCTCCATTTCCTAGCCATAGTGACTTTATATAGGGTTCCCACGGAGCAGTTGGTGGGTTTGAACCACTTACCTTGTGATTAGCAATTCAGTGTTTACCCTACAGTACCACAGCAGGATTTTGGATGCTCTCTCCAGCTATCCTGAAATACTTACCACTATCTAAAAGCATCACCTTCATTGTTTTCATTGAGGGAGGGACCAAGGGAAGAAGAGCGCTCTAGACCACAGTACAAATTCTACCCTTTATCTGGATGATTTCATTTCTTTTACTGTCTGTTTTCCTACTGGCTTCTACAAAGGTAACAGTGGGTAGTTGATTCTTTCATACACACTGTCACTGAGGTGGTTCTGACTCAGACAGACTCTAGAGGACTGAATAGAAGTACCTCAGCAGTTTCCAAAGCTATAAACCTTCACACAGTACGCTGCCACTGCTTTCTCCTATGGAGTGGCTGGATGTCAGCAAAGCACTTAACCAGGGCGCCACTAGGGACTTAGGCACTATGCCACTACTTCTAGAAGCTTCCACAGCCACACTCAAGATCTGAAATCCCACCAATCTGCACATGGATAATATGTTTTCTCCTATTGAAGTAATGCATTGTACTTGTCTACTCACTTGTAGTTTTCAAAGTTCTTTGACTGGAGGAGTTATGCTTTGTGCCTATGGTTATTCCCAACACTAGCATAATGACTGATATATGTGTGGATAAGCCACAAATCTTCACTGAATCAATTTATCAATTAATCGGGTAGTCTTTTTCATCCCTAAGGAAAACCAAGTGTATATTTCAGACTTGTAAAATGGAAAAAGACACTGAAGATAAAGTGATCTTACTTACTAGAAAACCTCTTTCTTCAACACTTGAATTCACTTGACACTTTATTTTTAAATAAATATGACCTTCCAAAGGAGACAAAAAGGGTACCTGCAACAAAAGAGGAAAAATTATTTGCACAACAGTTTCAAAGTGTTACTTTTCTGATAAAACATGTATAAATCATGAAGAGTGCACAATACTTTCTGCTTTTCGAAAGTTCACGTTATGAACTTCACTTTTATGAAATACCTACATTAGTGTCTGTTTTCACTAACCTAAAGATCTTCAAAGAGGATTTCAATTCTATGATCAAAGCATGGGCATGTAATTTGCAGTGAGACTCTTAAAGGGGCAGAGCAAATCCTGAGCCATGTCACCAAGCTCCTTCCCTGAGAATCGCTCTTAACATCTCAGCACCAAGTCACCACAGCTCTCAACACTGCATGTCACTGTTATTTTAGGGTTTGTGTGGTATTTAGTAGGTTACTTTTTTGGTGTAATGCTCAACAGATCTATCTTATATAAATTAATGGTAATTGCCTCTTTATGACACTTTATCTTACAAGTTTTCATACTCACAGAGTGAGAAAATTTTTTGGCAATGATATAGCAGAAAAGGGACTAATCTCTATAACTTACATAAAACTTCAATACCTCAGAAACAAACAAAGACAAATATAATCCAATTTTAAAATGGGCAGAGGATAGAAACAAACACTTCACCAAAGAAGACATTCAGGTGGCCAATAAGCAGAAGAAGAAATGCTCGAAATAATTAGTCGTTGTTGTTGTTAGGTGCCATCGAGTCGGTACCAACTCATAGCGACCTTATGCACAGCAGAACAAAACACTGCCCAATCCTGGGCCAACCTCACTACTGTTGCCACATTTCAGTCCCTTGATGATGCCACTTGGCCAATCCATCTCGTTGGGGGTCTTCCTCTTTTTCTCTGACCCTCCAACCTTACCAAACATGATATCCTTCTGCAGTGATTGGTCCCTCCTGACAATATGTCCAAAGTATGAGAGATGAAGTTTGGCCATCTTGGCCTCCAAGCGCACTCTGGTTGCACTTCTTCCAAAACGGATCTATTGGCAGCCCATGGCACTTTCAACATTCTCCTCCAACACCATAACTCAAAGGCATCAATTCTTCTACGGTCTTCATTATTGTTGTATTAATTTCTTTTCTTTTTTCATTGTGAAAATATATACAACATGCATAATCCAATGATACTGGTTAGTCTTCAAGTTATGCAACCAGTCTATCTTTTCCCACCATTAACATAAACTCATTGCCTCCTAAGGCAGTTGCTATGAGACAGAACCTACTCTACTGCACTTAACAACACATGCCTATCAACTGATGAATGGATAAACAAAATACAGTACATATGGCAAGTGGTGGTGGTGGTAGTGGTTATGTGCCGTGGAGTCAGTTCCAACTCATAGCAACCCTACATAGGGTTTCCAAAGTTGTAAATCTTTACAGGAGCAGAAAGCATGATCTTTCTCCCATGGAACAGCTGGCAGATTCGAACGGCTGACCTTGAGTATATATTACACACTGTAATATTATTCAATCATAAAACATTCTGCAAAGGAAAGTAAGTCAGAAGCAAAGGGAAAATACTGTCTGCTCCCATTTATATAAATACCAGCTATTGCTTAATGGAGACTGGATTTCTGTTTAGATCGATATTATGGACTGATCTGTGTTCCCTCAAAGTATGTGTGAAAATGCTTCCTGAACTGGGTCAATGTGTCGTACGTACTGTGGTGGCTTACATGTTGCTGTGATGCTGGAAGCTATACCACCACCAGTATTTCAAACACCAGCAGGTAGATAGGTATCAGTGGAACTTCCAGAATACAACAGACAAGGAAGAAGGAAGAGGTGATCCACTTCTGAAAAGTCAGCCACTGAAAACCTTATGAGTAACAGGCAGAACACTGTCTGATTTAGTATCAGGAGATGAGTCCATGAGGTTGGAAGGCTGACAGAGGAAGAGCTGCCTTCCCAAAGTAGACCTGACCTTAATGACAAGGATGGAGCAAAGCTTTCAGGACCTTCATTTGCTGATGTGGCAAGACTCAAAATGAGAATGTGAAATATACAAAATCTGAATCCAGAAAATTAAATGGAACACACAAAGATTGGTATCCTAGACATTAGTGAACTGAAATGGAATGATATTGGTCATTATGAAGTGGACAATCACATGGTCTACCATGCCAGGAATGACAAATTGGAATTTTGTAAGACCAAAGACTCATTCATTGTAAATCTTCTTTAAACACCATAAATGGTGACAATATGCATGGATCTTGCTAGATGGAAAGCAAATTGACTACATCTCTGGAAAAAGAAAAATAGAGAACCCCAATATCATCAGGCAGGCCAGGGGCACAGCAGATTATCAAGAAGTATTCATATGCAAGTTCAAGTTGAAGCAGAAAAAGATTAAAACAAGCCATAAGAGCCAAAGTATGACCTTGAGTTACCTTCCACCTGAATTCAGAGACCATCTCAAGAACAGAATTGAGGTACTGAACACGAAGACCAGAAAAGTTGTGGGATGACATCATGGACTTATACATGAAGAAACAAGAGGTCATTAAGAAAACAGAAAGAAAAAAAAAGACAAAAATGGATGTCAGAAGTGAACCTGAAATTTGCTCTTGAACATAGAATAGCTAAACCAAAAGGAAGAAATGATGAATTTCAAAGGGTAATTCAAGAAGATAAAGTAAATTATTATAATGAAATGAGCAACAACCTGGAGTTAGAAAACCTAAATGGAAGTACACTTTTTTTTCCCCCCAAGCTCTAAGAACTGATGGCACTTAACAACAACAACAAAAGAACTGAAAGAAAATGTCTAACGCTGAGTGGCAATACTGAAGGATTCTGCGAGTGAAACATTAAATAACCCAAGTAGCATCAAAGAAGATGGAAGGCCCAGAGTCAGTGACCTAGCCACAGAGGACTAGAGTGAAGACTGAAGCGTCCAGCTGATAAGAAGAGAGGGCATATGCACAAGAACACCCACACTTGCAGATAATAGCCACTTGACCTGGCTTCAATGACTGAATGATCAGAGCTCAACTAGAAGAAGAAAGAAGAGGAAAAAGAGTAATCTGATACAATTTGATGAACTTGACCTACACCTATGGATGCAGTAGCTCAAAAGAGGGACCAAATCTTTACAGCAAGGATCATTCCCACCCCCTCCATACCCAGAGTAGACAGGGATGGGCAACTTGGACATTGGCTACCCAAAATGAGGGAGCAAAAAGACAAAAAGTGACTGGCTTACAAGCTTTCAAGAGGGAGCCTACATTCAGAGGGCGTGAAGGAAGGTAGACTCTCCACTGAGTAATATCTAATCTGTCTGGGCGGAGCTAATGAAAGGAGATGGGGATAGGTCTCTTGTGGTACAATCATGAATAATTACTATCAGGATTGACTATGAGGGTTGGAAACATAGAGGTAGATGTTTCGTAGCAAAAGGAGGGGAGTGATTGACTTTGCAGTCCAAGAGCGGAGGTCCCTGGGAACATCAAAGGAGAAGAACAGAGTGTAGCACCCTACCCAGAGAAGAAGTGACGCCAGAGATGGAGGCAGACAATGACATGGAGAGATGGAGCGGCTGGGGACTCTGAACCCAGAGAGAGAGATGGGCTGTGTGCTGACGACCACGGATCAGGCTTGCCGGGTATACCCTTCGGTTGGTCGATGATGCATGGAGGGCATTGTAACCATAGCAATGAAACAATATATGATAGGACAAATGTAAAGCTAATCATCTCCCATGTAAACTATCACATATTGTTGTTGTTGTTAAGTGCCATCAAGTCGGTTCCGACTCATAGCGACCCTGTATAGGGTTTCCGAGGGGCAGCTAGTGAGCTTGAACTGCCAAACTTGCAGTTCAAACAGCTTTGCAGTCTGAGGCATTAACCCACAGCACCACACATAATTCACAATAAAACATTATTTAAAAAAAGAAGAAGATGGAAGGAATACCTTGATTTACTATACTAAAAAGAATTGATTACTCAACCATTTCAGGAGGTAATATATGATCAAGAACTGATGTTACTGAAGGAAGAAGTCCAGGTGGCACTAAAAGGACTGGAGAAAAACAAGGTCTCAGGTGTGATGGAATACAAAATATTAAAATGTTTCAACAAAGAGAGGCAACACTGGAGGTACTTATTTGTCTATGCCAAGAAATTTTTGGAAGGCAGTTACCTGGCCAACCAACTGAAAGAGATCCCTAACCATTCCAAAGAGGTGAATCAACAGAAAGTGGAAATTACAAAAACTTATCATTAATACCACATGCCAGTTGAATTTTGCTGAAGTTAAAAATGGCTGCAGCAGGGCAGCAACAAGGAACTGCCAGCAATTCAAGCTGGATTCAGAAGTGAACCTGGAATGAGGGATGTCATTGTTGATATCAGATGACTCTTGACTGAAAGCAGTTAATACCAGAAAGATGGTTACCTGTGCTTTATATACTATGCAAAGGCATTTGACTGTGTGGATAACAAATTATGGATAACATTGCTAACAATGGAAATTCTAGAACACTTAACTGTGCTCAAGCTGAACCTGTATGTAGACTAAGAGGCAGCTGTTCAAACAGAATATGGGAATACTTGTTGTTGTTGTTGTTGTTGTTGTGAAGTGTTGTCAAGTCGATTCTGACCCATTACAATCCTGTATAGTTTCCAAGGAGCACCTGGTGAGCTTGAACCACCAACCTTGCAGTTCAAATGGCTTTGCAGTCTGGTGTACTGTGACACCACACCAGGACTCCTGCCTGGTGTATAGTGGCACCACACCAGGACTCCTACACGGTTTAAAATCAGGAAAGGTGTGCATCAGGGTTGTATCCTTTCACCAAACTTAGCCAATCTGCACACTGGAACAGTAATCTGAGAAACTGGACTATATGAAAAACAACATGGCAGTGGAACTGAAGGAAGGCTCATTAGCAACCTAAGATATGCAGATGACACAACTTCACTAGATGAAAGCAAAGAGGACTTGAAGCACTTAATAATGAAGATTAAAGAAGTCTTCACTATGGACTACA